TTTTTTTACTTGAAGCTGGTGAGATATTCTACAAAGCAATGCCAGTTTTGTCCTTCAGTTTGTCAGTACTTATAAGAAGTATTAATATTTGCTAGCAAACAGGACCCATACAAACATGATACAATGATTATAGTAAGATGATTTGATACATTGCACTGTGACACACCAATTTAATTTCCAATTTGTAATGAAATAAACTGTGAAATATATTTTTATAACATAGAAATATGTCACTGAAAAAATTTAAAGACATAAATAGTTCACATATAGTAACAGCTGTTTTCTTTTTTATGAACTTAAATCTGACATGCTACTCCAAAACCCAACAGCAGTGTTGATTTCCAGTTTTTCAAAACTAGTGTTTAGTATTAATTTGATGTTTCATGATGATGTTTCAACATGACTGTGTTGTTGTTACTAAGCTACAGTTTTTCTAGTAATCACATGATGTCATTATTTTCATACAGGGAGAAGATTATCACATGTTTCAGGCTCTTTCAGTCAAATAGTTCAAATAATAAAATCTGTGTACTCCACACTCTTCTGTGATTCATTTGTTCAGTCACACAGTGACTTTCATTAACTTGGATCAGCTGCTAACAACTCACTGAAATACAACTGATTTGAAACTTTGAAAATATATTAATCAATGTGAGCATCTGGAAACTAACAAATTACTTTTTTATATGAGCATGATGAATTGATAACAAGGCTTAATTTTTATGAAGTGATCACACATGTTTAAAATATCAGCCTTCAGGGGAACACAGACCTAAAAATAACTAAACAAACACAGTAGTGTACAGAGAACAATGTTTCCCTCTGAAATTAGACAGAGTACAAATATAACTGAAAAATTACCCAATGTGTGAAAAAAACAAAAATCACAATATCTAAAAACTAAACAAACTCAAAGACAAGAATACTACATTAAATTTTAAATCATACAATAACAGTAAACCTTCTGGAATTAAAAATGTTTTTGTACTGTTTGCAGCGAAACAATGAAAATGATGAAAAAAACTGTTGTAACTTTCTTTGTTTAAGATGTTATCTGTTGTGATGCAGTGTGAATTGTATGAAGTAGAATTCATTTACCTGAGCTGTGAGATATAAGTCAGACACTGAAGGAAACTCCTCACTTCACTCTCTTCATGTGAGCAGCCTGTCAGCT